TACAATGACTGTGTATTCCTTCTGTTTTCTTTCGACGTTTCCTGCATCATTCAATATTTTGCCCATAGAATCTTTCAATATTGCTACTTGAGGTTTGAATTTTTTCTTCAGTTCTTTCAGCTTGAGAAATGCCAAGTGTGTTCTTCCCTTTGGTTCTCTAACTCCAGGTCTTTGAACATTTCATTGTAATAATTGACTTTGTCTTCCTGAGCTTCTCTTTGAAGTCTTCTGTTCAGCTCTTTTATCTTGTCATTTCTTCCATTTGCTTTAGCTACTCTCCATTCAAGAGCAAGTCTCAGTGTCTCTTCTGACATCTATTTTGGTCTGTTCTTCCTTTCCTGTTTTTTTAATGACCTCTTGCTTTCTTCATGGATGCTGTTCTTGAGGTCATCCCACAATTCTTCTGGGTTTTGGTTACTGATGTTCAATGCATAAAATGTATTCTTAGATGGTCTCTAAATTCAGGAGGGATATAATCAAGGTCATATTTTGGCTCTCATGGACTTGTTTTAATTGTCTTCAGCTTCAACTTGAACTTACGTATAAGTAGTTGATGGTCTGTTCCACAATCAGCTCCTGGCTTTGTTTTGGCTGGAGGTATTGAGCTTCTCCATTGCCCCTTTCCACTGATGTAGTTGATCTGACTCCTGTGTACTCTATCTGGCCAAGTCCATGTGTATAGTCACCATTTATGTTGTTGAAAAAAGATGTTTGCAATGAATAAGTTGTTGGTCTTGCAAAATTCTATCATGCATTTTCCAGTGTCATTTCTATCACCAAGGCCATCTTTTCCAGCTACCAGTGATTCTTCTCTGCTTCCAACTTTTACCTTCCAATCATCAGTTACAATCAACACATCTTGATTGCATATTTGGTCAATTTCAGATTGCAAAAATTGATAAAAATGTTCAGTTTCCTCATCTTTGGCTTTGGTGTTTGGTGTATAAATTTGAATAATAGTAGTATTAACTGGTCTTCCTTATAGGGGTATAGATATTGTCCTGTCACTGACAACATTGTACTTCAGGATAGATCTTGAAACATTCTTTGTGACAATGAATGCCACACCATTCCTCTTCAATTTGTCATTCCTGGCGTAGTAGATCATATCGTTGTCTGATTCAAAATGACCAAAACCAGTCCATCTCAGCTCACTAATGCCTAGGATGTCAATCTTTCTGAGTTTCATTTCGTTTTTTACAACTTCCAATTTTCCTAGACTCATGTATCGTAAAGTACATGTTCCAATTATTAATGAATGTTTGCAGCTGTTTCTTCCCATTTTGAGTTGTGCCACATCAGCATACACATTTTAATAACTATTATATCTTTCTAATTAATTGACCTTTTCATCATTATGAAATGTCCCTTGTTATCTCTGGTGTTGTTCTTTGTTTTCACTGGTGCTCTGGAGACTACAATGTACATCCTGAACTTTGTACTTGAAGTTTTTGTTCCACCACTTGCAGTTGTATGTATCCATTTACCATCTCCTTCCATCCTTCCAGAAGGCTGGTGGTTCAAACCCACCAGTCACTCCTCAGAAGGAAGACTTGGCAATCTACTTCCAAGGAGAGGTCTCTATGAGTCGAAATTGACTTGACAGCAGTTAAGTTTGGGAGCTCTGGTGGTGTAATGCCTAAGGCATTTGACTGCTAACCAGAAGGTTGGCAGTTCAA